CCTGAAGAGTTTTTTGGAACGATATTTATTCCTAAGAGATACAAGGCTTACCTTTAACGTTGACTGGAACCTTTCAATTGGTGAATTCGAATTAGGATTATATAAAGTGTAACAAATTGTAACTCAATCTTGTAAGTATTACAAAGATCTTGGAATAAATTACTTTTGAATACTGGAGCATTATCGTTAATAATTTTACTAGGTGTTCCATGGTGTGAGAGAAGTTTAATTAAGTTTTGACAAATCTCAATTTATTTTTCGTTGATAGGTTACGCAATTGCAAATTTTGAGAAACTATGTATTATTTTTAAATATTTTTGACCAGATACTGAGTAGGTATCTCTATGTATAAATTTGCTCAAAAGGTTTTGAACCTGTTGGGGTAGGCTTATACCTATATTACCTTGTAAGGATTTCAGTCATATTTCATTTTCTGACAAGTTTCACAAGTATTAATAATAGTTATTTAGAATACAAGTGCGTTTATGAACATGATTACAATAACGAGTGTGAACGACGAGGTCGTAGACCGAGTCGTTCTAATCACACGAGTTTTGTGGTCATGTTTAAAAGCACGTGTGATGTACAACGTTTTATCCTCAAAGCGAAAAATAAAATAAGAAAATGTTTTTTTTTCAATTTTCATTTATTAATTAGTAGTTGTCTACCTTCATTTTACTTTTACAGGTTTAACTATGATATTTGTCAAATCACAAAAACTAGTTGTGTTATAGATTCATAATTTAGTCTATATGACACCACTAGTTGTGCTATGAATTCATAACCTAGTCCCTAATACCACTAGTTGTGTTATGAGTCTCATGACACAACTCAAATACTAGATAAATGGTTATGTAAAAACGTCATAACCAAATGCTTGTAGATAATAGTAATTCACATCACAAGTGCGTTTATGAACATGATTACAATAACGAGTTTGAAAGATTAGAAGGACGAGGTCGTAGACCGAGTCGTTCTAATGACACGAGTTTTGTCTAATGACACGTTCTAATGACACGAGTTTCTAATGACACGAGTTCTAATGACACGAGCATGTGTGATATACAACGTTTTATCTACAAAGCGAAAAAATAGGAATGTTTTTTCAATTATTTTCGTTTATTAGTGGTTCTGTCTACCTTCATTTTACCTTCACAGGTTTGATCTTGACATTTGTCGAATCACCAAAAATAGTTCTGTTATATAGACTCGTAACCTAGTCCATAACACCACTAGATGTGTTATGAATTCATAAACTATTCCATAAAACCACTAGTTATGTTCTGAGTCTCATGACATAACTCAAATACTAGAAAAATGGTTGTATGTGATTTTTTTGTTGTGCGATATCTTTCAATTATCTCCTTTTGTTCTTCTTGATCTGTTACATCTTCAAGAAGGGTGTTGGAAATCACAAGTTTAAATGTGTTATTCCTGAAAGTTTCTTGGAATATTCTTAATATTAGAGGTTCTAATTCTTTATAAGGAAAATGTAAACAATACGTGTATGGTGCTAAATATCTCTAAAAAGTTCTTGTATTTCTTTCTAATTGGATTTTCATTGATGAAAATTATTATTCTTTTCACTATTCTATTCACAGTTTTATCAACATATGGTGCTCCTAAGATAGGGTTTTCAGTAGCTGAATGGACTGTTTCTGTTTCAGATCCAGTTTCTTCCAATAATTTTTTATTTTAATTAGGCGATCCTTTATTTTCGTTGGATGGTGGGTTGGGATGGGTGGGATGGCCCTTGGTTTAGACGATTCATTTTTATTTATAAGAATTACCTTTTTACCATCAGGTTTATTTTGAATGACTGATATTATTTTAATTTTTGCGCTTCTCCTAGCTTTTTCAACTTTTTTTAAATTAATTTTCTTTGGTGGATCAAGCAAGTCTTATTGTATTTCGAAGAAATGCTTGACTTTATCTCTCCATGAATATTGGTCTTTTTCTCTGTGAATTTCACTGTTTCAGATGATATATGTGATGATGATAAGAAGTGTGTCTAAAGGTGGACGCGAAAGGGCATCAGCATTTAAATTTTTTGTTCCCTTTTTGTATTGAATAGTATAATCATATTCTTGGAGTTTTAGTCTCCATCGGACTAATTTTGAACCTGGGTCTTTTACTGAAAAGAGCCATTGGATAAGTTTGTGATCAGCCACGATAGTGAATTTTTGACCAAATAAGTAGGGTCTAAAGTACTTTGTCGCCCATATAATTGCAAGAAGTTCTTTTTCTGTATTAGAATAGTTGCATTCTGCTTGATTGAGGGTTCTATACTTGCATAAGCTATGGGTAGATCAGTTCCAATAGGACCTTGTGAAAGAACTGCGCCTATTGCGTAGTTTGAAGCATCTTTTGTAAGGACAAAGGGTTTTGAAAAGTCAGGATATTTTAATATCGGGTCATTCATTAAAATATTCTTACATTTAATTAAATACATCGATAAATTGTTCGTCATGAATTATTTTAACATTTTTCTTTAAACATTGAGTTAAAGGTTTGGTGATTTTAGCAAAGTTTTTAATGAATTTCCTGTAGTATCTGACAAGTTCGAGAAAAGATTTTGTTTCCTTTAGTTTTTTCGGAATTTTGAATTTTTTTATTGCTTCTATACTTGCTTTTCGTTTGGTTTAATACCATCTGAGGTTATTGTATATCCAAGGAATTTAACAGCTTATCTAATTGAATTTTCAAATTAAATGAAATAAGTCGTTCAAATACTTGTCGTGAAGAATCAAGGTGTTTTTGAAGTGTTGTTGAGTATATAATTATGTCTGCCATATAGACTAAACATATTTTACCAAGTAATTTTTTTATTACATTTTCTATAGCTCTTTGAAAGGTTGAAAGAGTATTTTTTAATCCGAAGGGCATTCATAGGAATTCGTGATTTCCATGTTCTACATTAAACGCTGTTTTGGGTATGCTTTTGGGATCCATTTTGATTTGGTAGAATCCGCTTGCTAAATTTTAATGTGAAATATTGCGATCTTCCAAGCTTATCTGATCTTCTTCTTATCACGCCCTCTCCTGCCGAAGGTTGGCGATCCAAATGGCAATTGTAGCTCGAAAGATTTCTGCAAACGAGCGGTCGAACCATCTCCCTAAATCTTGTAGCCATGAGTTCTGGCGTCTTCCTACTTATCTTTTCCCGTGTATTTTGCCCTCCAATATGAGGCGTAGTATTTCGTATCTTATCACATCTTATCACGTCTCTCATCACATGACCCAGCCAGATATTGCATTTTTCTTTCCTTGATGGAGTTCAATAATTCTTTTTGTTTGTGCATGCGCTGGAGTACTTTATCGTTGGTGATCCTTTGTACCCATGAAATTTGCAGCATCCGTCTATACACATACATTTCGAAGGCTTCTATTCTCTTTTCGGTCTGTGAATCTAGTGTACAGCTTTCTCATCCATAGAGTAGGACAGAGAAGACGTAGCATCTGATAATTCGAGTTCTGAGTTCCAAGCTAAGGTCTAGTCTTGTAAAAAATGTTTTTATACTCATGAAGATTTTCCTCACTTGCTTAATCCTTGAAAGTATTTCACTTTTCGGGTCGCACTGCCTATTGATGTTAGCTCCCAAATATTTTATTGAGGTCCTTTGTTCGATTGTTTGTCCTTTGACTCACAGGTGTGCATTTATTGGAGTTTTAGAAAAGACCAATAGTTAGGTCTTGGATTTTGAAAACATTTAGATGCAATCCAAACATTTCGCTATGGTGAACTACGAAATCCATGATGCTTTTTAGTTCTTGTACATCGTTGGCTATTATAACCGTATCATCGGCGTACCTGATATTGTTTATTGGGGTTCCATTAATCTTGATTCCTCCCTGGACCCCATCCAGTGCCTCTCTAAGTTGATTTGATGATTGAGGTTGCTCTGTTTTGAATTTCTTGGATAAGAATATTTTTTTGCAATTTTCTTAGAACGGTTTCTAATTTTTTCGTTTAGAGTAGTAGATACAAAGGTTTTGTACAAATGTTTCTTTCCACTTGGTTTAATTTGGAAAAGTAAAAACTTCACTTGTTTTGAAATGAAAACAAATTCTTAAATAACAGGCTGTTCAATTATAGGAAGGGACTTAAAAGTATTCCAATTTCTGACCTGTATCAAACGTATCTTCGTTGAGGAGATATACTGGTCAGGAGCTCAGCTTTGACAAGTCTGTAGTGGACACTAGCATAGGCCAAAATGTCCGACTGGCTTCTCTCGTTATGGCGAACCACACAGCCAGGAGCCAATAGCACTCCACTTTTGTTCACTTTTGTTGTTGTTTGTTCCTTTCTTAATTGTTAAAGCAGAGAGGTACACTCGCGTGATCTAATGAAAACTTTCCGAAAAACCGAAAAAATACTCAAAAGGATTATACCTGAAAGGAATTCTACCGACTGTGCCATAGTCTAGGAAAATTGTTGATTTTCCAAAAAAAAAAATTCCTACCCAAATAAATTTTTCAGGGTTGATAGGGGGCGGGTGGGTGATCATAAAACCGAAGATATCACACATTCACCCCTCTGGCGTTTGGCGCTATAGAGGTTGAAAATGCGCCATTAGCGATTACTTGGTACCTATTGATTTTACAAAAAAAAAATGTGCAACATTATTTGAACAACAATGTTTATCTAAAGACTTTTTTCTACTACCGTGCGTAAAGTACTCACTTTACGCACTATTCAAAAGATGTAAAATTTCACTTCACGCACTAGTGCGTAAAGTATTTGTCCAAATTTATTTTTTTACACATATTTGATTGATAGTAGAAAAAAATTTGTATGCAATACGTGCGTAAAGCACCTTTTGCTTTACACACTTGTTGCATAAATAACTATTTTGATTAGGGGCTGTCTGTGGTCATAAGAGTCGTTTGAAATTTATAATTAGAATAAAAAATTTTAACCTAAGGGAAGTCTCCCCCCGCTGAATGGGGGTGAGTTACAAAAAAAATTGATAAGGAAAAATTGTAGGAAATGTAATTTTATAAAACTTTTATTAAGAAATTTTTTTTGTAAAAAAATAAAAAAAACTTTAAACTACCCCTATTGAAAAACGGCAGGGGGTGAGTAAAAACTTCATTAAGCAAAAACGTTGTGTAAGTTGTAGAATTTTTTTTCACGTTGGTTAAAAAAATTTATTTTCATTATACATTTTAAACAGCCCTTATTAAGCAAAAAAGTCTTCAGATAAACATTGTAGATCAAATAATGTTGCACATCTTTTATTTGAAACATTTTTTTGTAAAATTAATAGGTACCAAGTAATCGCCAGAGGGGTGAATGTGTGATATCCTCGGTTTTATGATCACCTACCCACCCCCTATCATCCCTGAAAAGTTCATTTGGGTAGGATTTTTTTTTTTTTGCAATGCATGTATTTTTCGACAATTTTTCTAGACTACCAGTTATGGTTTAAATTAAGCAGTCTTTTTAAAAAACTTTATTACTTAATCCGTAACATGTGAACCCAGTGAAGCGAACTAAAGAACTAACTTATTATTGACTTGCTCGTATTTATATAAAAAATGATGATGAGCTAGCCTATGTCTAATTCTTATTACTAATATCCTGAATCATTTGGAGATGTCCATATAATTAAATTATGAAAATATTTCAAAATAAACCATGATCTATTTTTAATCCCAGTTAAGACTTAAAATTATTATCCAAGTAATATCAATAAAACTTGTCTACACTCTACACAAGAGATTTATTTCATTTCAATAAAGATATTCTAGATATTATTTGTCAAGGGTTTATGTTCTGAAATTTTCATAATTATATTGTTAGATATCTGAAAAATTAACGATAAAAGACCTAATACATAGTATCAGTTTTCAGTAAGTGTCAAATAAATTGTTCTAAAAATTATATATTGGATTTTCTGATTAAAATCAAATTACATTTTACACAAAACAAGTTTAAGTAAGGTCATATTGCAACAATTATTTTTGCTTAGTTAGTTGACGATTAAACTTATTATAGAGTATTTAAGATTGTGCCAATCAATATCAATTGCTTTTTAAATTTCCCTAGTCAAAGGATTTTGGCTATTTATTATATTTTTCCTTGTATGGATTTAATTTTCCCCAAAAGCTTATGGTAAACCTGATAAGGTGATTCGCCAAATTGTTTGTTTTCAATTTAGTTTCTCCAAAGCACATTGTACCTAATAAAAAATATATTTTGCTAGAAAATTCACTTTAAAAAATAATCACAAGCAGAACAAACTTTAGAATTTTTAATATTTGTTTTTTTTTGGACTAAATATATCTTATTGTTTTAGGGTAAAATTCTATTTGACCAAGTTTATTAAAAATTAATAACTAAATCTTTTCTAGAAAAAACTAACAAGTTTCACTTGACAGGTTATGATGGAAGCCTTTATTTTAACACACAAATAGAAAAATAATAGAATAGCTTTAGTATAGTGTCAAACTATATGTGCAAATAGAATAATGTAGACGAAAAACTGTTTTGGACTAATTACAATATCCACATCAAATTTTAATCACAATTTCAGCACTCTGCACTACTTCTGCTCTCATCATCAATTGGCATACCGTTCAGATTAAACCTTCTAGGTCTTTGAACTTCTGGCTCTTCGTCGCCTCCAAAGAATATATTAGCTGCAAAGCTACTAGTTGAACCTATTTTGCCTGTGGTTTGACTGTAACCATAATTTCCGTTATAATATGAATCTGAAGATTGTTTCTGTGTGTAGCTTATATTTGTAGATTCTGTTTCTGTATAAATCTGACTTGTTGAGAGATAATTGGCAGGTAGTTCTTGTGCAAACCTATTTATCGATGACATCTCAGAGTCAGAGGTTCCGTCTGTTCCGTTATTGCCTTCATTGTTCGAAGAGTCATAAATTACTTCAACTATTTTATTCTCGGATGATTGGCTTTTTATTGGAGTAGTCAGAGTGTTATCATCATCACTATCTTCAGATACCATATACTGGCTATTTTCATCTGGGGTAATAGTATCATTTCTTAATTCAATAATTTCTATTGTAGGTTTTTGTTTTAAAATGGATTTAGGTTGCTGTTCAGCTTTTAAATCAGGATTAAAACTGCTGGTTTTACCAACAACATACATCCTATCAGATGTTCTTTGAGTCTCCAATTTCGCTGTTCCATTTATTTCTTCTGCTACATTTGCAGTTTCAGTTATATGTATTTCTCGTCTTATTATGCGATTTGGTGGTGTTGGTTTTTCTTTACCTGATGGTTTTCGTGCGTTTGAATTTGTTATTATTCTGGTTTGTGGATTAACTATGGCAGGTGAAGAATGATTATTCGTTCTTGATTCTGGAAGCACGGGTATAGTTCTTATTGTAGATGATGGTTTTGGTTCTATTGGGTTTTGAGGTAGATCTGAAATAAAAATAACATATTTAAAAAATCTATAATATACTAAAAAATCAGTTAGAATCTATTTTTTTTCCCTGATCGTCGACAATGTATAATGAGATTGAAAAATAATAATTATCTTATCCTACTTACAACGTGGAGGATCTTGAAATTCCGAATACACTTTATATCCCAAGCACACTACGTTACTTTTATCAAAATCCTTTTTAGCATTTTTAGCAACACTGTCTTTTGTGAACTTTGCTCGAAATCCACTAAACAGGCCCATGTTATTTTTGCAATTTAAACTACACAATAAAATCTATATGAATCCAGTTATCACGTCGCGTAAGAAATGTTTTATCTTTTCGTCGATAAGTTACACTTACCTTTGCTCTCTTATCTTTTATCTTCTAATTGTTGTTTTTTTTTTTTGTGTGTATGTGGAGACAATAAGATTGGTGAATTTCATTGAAATATATCTAATACCATTATCAAGCAAAGTGTAATTTTTTGAATATGAGTTTCCCGTCTAGGTTCATGGTTCATAGAAATTAAAGGGAATATGCAGTTGGCAGTTGCTTTTATACATATAGCATGTTGTAAGACTCTTTGATGCATGATATATATGGTGTCTTTTAATAAAACTGACACATTTTGCAAGTAGATACATATCTCTAAAACGAGAAAAGATAACGAGATGCGGTTTGTTCTGGAAGAATAAGGATTTTGGTCTTAGAGATATGCAATTTTTTGAAATAAAAATACTGCCTTATTTTCAATGAAACACCCTGTATATTGCAACGGCAGCCAGTATGTCAAGAATCCTGTACAGAATTGCATAGCAGATTCGAGATTTTACGTTGATGTTCGGGAACAAGGTCGATCGCGGTTCTTCTGGAATTTACAGGAATAAATTACGGCTATTATCAGGCTTATGATGTATCATTTTCTGTTATTTTAACAGCAACGTTAAGTTGTCTGTCACTGTTTATTCTATACGTCAAAATAGAAAGGAGTATAGATGTTGAGCTATAACATAGCTGTTAAAATAACAGAAGAGGATACATCATAGGCTTGTATATATAAGGACGGGTTTTAGCTTGTAAGTTAAGTTGAAGTTTGACTGATACGAGTTAAATAGTGATTATTGTTGTAAAGAGTTTAATTGTTGAGTTAGTTATTAAAGTAATTAGTGTCAGAGTGTATTGTTACGTGGAATAAATTATTGCTGTGTTAATTGGACTTTGATTTTTGGAATAAACGAAACGAACCCAAGATTTCTGTCAGGCAACACAAAGCCGTGACAATATTTTGCCATCATCAGAAAGCCTGATTTTTCTACTTTACAAAAATTTATATATTTTTTTAATTATCTTGAAATTGCATTTTATATGAAATTTTGCATGATTTTATTGCATGTAAGTGAGAAAAAATTCATGATTCCATTTATGAGCCTGAGACCAAGATCCATTCTCGGTTTGTTCTGTTTGATAAAAAGACCCTACTCAATAAACCCTGAAAGTTTGAAGTCCCTCTGATTGCTTGAAGTATTTTTCAGAAGCTTCCAATCGTGATTTAATAGAAATTTTGTAGAATTTTTTTGCATCTAAGTGAGAAAAAAATCATAATTCCATTTCTGAGTCTGAGATCCATTCGCGGTTTGTTCTGTTTGATAAAAAAATCCTACTCAATAAATCCTGAAAGTTTGAAGTCCCTCCAATTGCTTGAAATATTTACTTTTTTTGGCCAATTGATGGTACCCTCTTTAACAAAGTGTTATCTTTACAATGTGATTTCAAGATAATTGAAAAAATATACATTTTTGTAAAGTAGAAAATTCAAGCTTTCTGACGATGATAAAGTATACTAGGATGTCCATGGAAAATAAGGCAGTGATTTTATTTCGAAAAATCGCATGTCTGTAAAACCAAATTTCAGCAAATTTTAGGATTTATCAGTAGGTACTGCGAAAAAAAAAAAAATTCAAAAAATCCTTTTCCCCCAGAAGAAACCGCATCTCGTTATCTTCACCCTTTCCTCACTTTCGAGATATTTACCTGCAAAATGTATCAGTTTATCTAGGGACAAATTGTATGCTGTGGATCTTTCTTCTCAAAGAACAGCAAAGCCGGTAAATAGAGTGAGGATGATGTCAAAATGCCAAGGTTATAAAAATAATAGGACCTACAACTTGTTCTTAAATGAAGCCCTTACATGCCTGTTAAAACAATAATAATTGAAGCATCTAAAGAGGAGATAAATATAGTTTTCAATGTGTTCCACATCGCGAATCCTTCATTGCAGTGACTATATATTAAGAGAAGACCGTGGATATTCAATAGAGGGATTGGAATTGTTCTTTTTTACATCTTTACCTTCACTCAGGTCTATAGTCGTGTTATCTAATAATATTTGTTCATCTCCCTACTACCAGCAGTACAAAACTCAAACTCAAACTCAAAATGTGCTTTATTGTGTAAATACAAATATTTGTTCACAAAAACTGATCCTATGGTGTCTAAAAATGAAGTGGGTACACAGTTGTAGTACCACTAGTACCGGGAAAAATATCTAATAAATGTATACTTAAAATAGAAAAGCTCACAGTTTGTCAAAACACTTAAGATATAAAAATCAGTCAAAAAAAATTAAACTTAAAAGTAAGAGTCATACAAATAAAACAAAACTGTTTCTATTCAAGAACTCGAGAAATGATTTAAAATGTATAGGTAATTTAAAAGGACAGAGAACTTTTTACATTGAGGGCGATAAAACTCATATTAAACACATATAGCAGAGGTAACAAAAACGGATTTAAAAAAAAAAGAAAAAAGAAATGACATACAAAATCAAAAAGCATTAAAAAAGTCTTCAATACTATAATTTCCCGCAAGCAGCAGTTTCTTTACCTCCTTCCTAAATTTAAACAAATCTCTGATAGCTCGCTTTTGCAAGACAAACACACTCAGAAACAATTGTCGGGAGGGAACAAGTAGGCAAGTACCCCAGAAACAAACACCGTATCGCAAATGAGACTCAATCAGGGCAAAGTAAGCAATTTTGACGATTCCCACATCCAATTCACAAAAATTTATTTTCGGTCAAGTTTTTTAGTAAAGAACCATTCAAACAAATATCCCCCAAATTGCAACCAAATGACATTACATTAGTTTTGCTTATATTTAAAGATAACTCGTTTGTATCACACTAGGATGGTCTGCCATCTGTTCAAGACTCTGATCTGTCTCCCGTTTTTGCGACTGTGTCTGTTGTTGTGTTGGTACGTGTCAAGCTCCCCATCCAATTCCAATGCCTCTGTTGCCGACTTGGCTCCTCTCTCTGCCTCCCTGTTCCCAGGGTTTGCGGCATTATGCCCTCTTTTCCACTGAAAGCGGATGTTTATGTCATTTTCAAGAATTTGTTCAGCTAGTTTCAGTATGTGGGCGGTTACTTTGTCGTTAATCTTGGCGCCTAGTTTCTATTGCCTGTTTTCTGTCAGCTATTATTGTCATGGTCCTTATGTCTGTTTCAATCCCAGTGTGTACGCCTTTTAGTACAGCTAGCATCTCTGCTTTATCTATACCGATGTTGTCCTGTCCTCTTGTCCTTCGTCTGATGGGTCTGTTTTCATGTTCAAGGAAAACCCCGATGCCTGTACTCTCATCTTGGCCTACCCTCGCGGCCACATAGATGTCCATCCAGTTTTGTTGTGTTTGTCTTAATAGTCTCCCTTTTGTCGCTGGGTAGGGTTTGTCTATCGCACGTATCTTTGTTCTCTGTATGTCGGCATAATTGTTTACCCAGTCCCTTCTCTACTCCGCTTCCAGCCATAAAGGCGGAAAGCCTGCTAACACCTGTAGCGCCCCGTTGACAGTTGTCGAGTACTTCCTGAGTGCGTTCAAGGACGGCAATGCTTATGCCAAAACCTACTTTTCCCCTTCTACCGGCGATACCAAATCTGGTGTGAATTTGCTGGAACGCCAAATACCGTTTCTCAATTCGCATGACGCTTGCCATTAAAATTAACCTATAAATTTGTTTATGCCCTTTTTTTAATTTTCGTAAAAATTCTTAAATTTACTATTTTCCGATCGTCAGCATTAGTATTATCTATTCACCACTTCCACTTTCGTTCTAGAACCCTTTTGTATTGTATTATTTATCTGTTGTTTGTGCCAAAAGTGACAGACCCCATTTATCCAATCAGAATTCGTATAACCATTTCTAGACTCAGTTAAAAGCACCTCCAAAAGTTACTTTACCGCAGCCGTTTTTGAACGTGTAAAGCCAACCGTTTTTAGCACGCTGGAGCCGAACTTGAACGCAATATGCCAATTTTGGCTCGGCTTTAGCCGTTTTTGAACGCAACCCCTGTATACCATCAGCAGCATTGGTCTTACTACTACATCCAGATGTCTGCGTCCCATCGTCGTGTTAGCCTTTGCTCTCAAAATTTCGCTTGCGTTCAGCATGGCGGGCTTTACTACCATTTCTAGGACGTCTTTTATAATTAACTAGCTAATGACCCGCTGCGTTGCCAGCGTGAAAATACACTGCCGAGCATAAAATTAGGGTCACCCTATAATTTGCAATTATGTTTAAAATTTTTGGTTCTTGCGAATTGTTTTTTTTTTTTTGGTGTAAAGTTATATGCGATTATTTTGTCGTAGTTGCTTGAATTTAAAAAAGTTTTTGTTGTTTTGCCCCAAGTTTTGCTTGCAAATTATGGGATGATCCTAATTTTATGCTCGGCAGTGTACATTTTGAAATAATACACTTTTTTTCAAATTTTGTTGTTGATTTTCTATTTAAATTTTATTATTTTTTATCCGATACCAGCGTCGCTTGCCAGTGAGTTCAGTGACGCATTTTAAGCACTCCAGAGCTGTTCTAGAGCGCCCGGGCTGTTTATAAGCGTTCCAATGTATCAAAGTTTCGCGCAACCGAACTTTTTTTCGGGATAAAAAATAGCCCATAGCACTCCCCTCTTTAGTCGAATTCGATTGACCGGATTAGATCGATCTGGTTCAATTTAAGTGAACCACACTGTGTTCGATTCAGGCTGGATCAGTGCTCCCTCATCAACAAAAAAATGAATACGTGGTATTAAATTCAAGATCGGTCCAGCCGTTCTCAAATTCAAAAAATAATAAAGTTACGTCGGTTAAATGGCAAGCCTAAATAAGGGCGGGTATTATAAAACTTAAAATTAACTTTTTGAATTACATGTAATTCCAGAAGGTAACTTTAAGGGCTATATTCTCCGTAGTTCATAAAGCCTGGCTTAGTGGAAAAGCTCGGCTTTGTCACACAAAAAGTCAAGCGTTTCCACTAAGCCAGG